AGGTTTTGTCATGTAGCGAAGAAGGGGTAGCAGTACACTGTCGTCTCTGATACTCAATTAAGACATATGGTTTGATCAAATGTAAAAGCTGGAAATAATCAACTGCTGCCTAGACTAGGTCTACAAAATAGAGATGGCTTCTTTTTCAGTCCATAACCTATCCTTCTCATTGCTCTACCCCGAAACTTAATCTTTCAGGAAAAGTATCCAAAAGAAATGTATGCTTCCTGCTGGTTAAAATCCAGTTTTCAGAATTTTAGGATAGCTACGTCAGTGTCTTTTGCATTTAATATTTATTTTACCATGAAACCCATTCATTGTGAAATTTCAGGTCTGTTTATTCATTTTTCTGAGGTCCTATTAGCCCTCATGATTTCAGGTGGAAACGCACAAATTTGAAATACCCCAAGCTACTCAGTAAGCAACTGGAATGACAAGATTTAAGTGACCTATGAGTTAGCAACACCCTGCTAAGAATACTTCTTGCAATACCGCTTCCAAGCTTTCTTCATTGATATTTGGTAGTTCTGACGCCCCTATAACAATGACAGCAAACACACCTCTGCATATAATTTAAGAACTTTTTCTCTGGCCTTCCCAGGACTAACAGAAATGGGAAAATGAGAGCTGAACAAAAGCTTTTAGACTGGAAGCAAAGAAGGCAATTTTGGACGTTTGGTTGTTTTAAACCAAGGTAGGAGAATCCCTAAAAAGTGGAGACTTAGAGACACTATTCAAGGAGATGCAAAGTTAGAATCCAAACTGAACCTGCTGCTGCCTTCCTCATTCGTTAAAAAGAAATTAAGACCATGATAGAAAAAAAGTCCCTGAAATCAGCAACTACAACACACCTATTTGAGAACAGCAATAATGTCTTCAGTGCAAGGAGGCGGGTATATGACTGCTACAAAGGGAATGTGCAGGAGAAGGTCTACAAAAGCCAATTCTTTGTGTATATACAGTAGAACACTGTAAAAAAGTGGGGTTTTGGAATGTAGTGAAGAGGTGCTATTGTTCAGAAATTATGGATATGGATTTGCATGTGGACAAGATGACTAAGATTACTCATTTACATTTAAAAAAATAATAATCTTACACGGCAAAGGGAAATGGGAAAAAAAGAGCACAAAGCACATTTCAAGCTTTGTCCTATTGATTACAATATCACAACACACTGCCCAGTCCCCCTCCAAATCAAATCCCCTCTCAAGGGCTGCTTCATTTCCTGCGTTTCTTTTCCCATTTGTCAGTATATGAAACTCAAAACTGCAACACGCACCTTAAAATCATTTGGAGTAGACAACTGAAATTATATCCACCCCACCTGTACTGCCCAGCTTCTGGGCTGGTACTCATGGAAAAAAAAAAAAAAACCCACCAAAAACCCCCTCCTTTAGATAAGGAGGGGTTTTCGGCCTCTACTAAGGAGGAAACAACTTTACTGTTTAAACAAAGCTGCTTCCTTCCCTTCTACACACATAATCCTTTGTCAAGAAACCCAGTTGCTGTATGTGTACTTCAGAAGTTCCTCCCCTGTATCATTCACCACCTCTTCTTTTTCCCTACTCCTCTCCTTCTCCCCCAAGCACAGGTTTTGCACTAATATTCCTAGCCTTTGTTCATTTACATTGCTTAACACCTCCTTGCCTTTTTAATTTATTACTGAAACAAGTTTCGACCACAGTCTTAGCACTGTATATTAAATATTCTGCTCTTTTCCATTGTGAAAGTCCCAGGAATTACTGAATTTCAGTCAGTTGCATTTTAACTCATTTTGTCTCTCTTAAACATTTGCCTTCCTGAAGTTCAGCAGATGCCTTAGAGGCCTCTCTCACCTTTCAGTCCTGACATCAGGGCTTATGAATGCACTCAAAAGTCAGTCTAATCCTATTTAGCTCCATTTCGTTGATGTTCCAAAATTACTATCTGGTCTCACTGACAACTCAATATACCTTATGTATGAGGAAGTACTTCACTTCCATTCCCAAGAATTCCTGCTATTGTTATTACAGTAGACAATGCACTAAGTAAAATCCTTTCAGATGCTTTACCCTATATTCAGATAACAGTTTATCAGTCTCTTGCAATTTGCGTATCCTAATGACTATCTCCTTCTCTTTTCGTTCTCCCCAAACTTTTACAGTACGAGTCCCTTTTATTCCCTTTTTGAGGGTTCTTTACCTAAATTTATTCATTCCACTGATCACAGAGTTAAGTATTACTGGTACTAGCAACTAAACAGGCCCACAGAAGTCTCTACCCCTCATCACAGGAAAATACAGGAACTTTCCTCCTTAACGTTATACAGCTTTTTAGATTATCATTTTTCTTATTATAACCAGGCTCAGTTCCCACATGCCAATTAATATTCTAATTCTGAAGCTTACACTTGCAGAAAAACCAATACATCTGCATTGGATTGACATGGCCCACCTTGACATACTAGTGTCTTTATTTCACATAATGCCTTCCTGTCTAAGAGCTGTCACTGGAAAAGCCAACTAAATATTCTTCTTTACTTCAAAGGATTTAATGAAAACTCCAGAGTCCAATTCTTTGTTTAAGATAAGATTAGTTTCTATAACCATAAAACATAAAAAGAACAAGATAAGGGACGAGGAGCGATAAAACCAACTGTCCAGCAACAGGGATTTCCTTCTGCCAAAATACTACATGAGTAACTGTATTATTAACACAATTCTTTTGCTACAAGAAAATTAAACCTTGCAAACTTCCTCTCTGCCATACATGCACTTCAAGCAAGGCATTCATTTGATCAGACCACTAGAAAACCAAGTTCTCTTTATCAATGAGGAATTTAAGCATTATGGAGACAAAGGCATTCTACACAGTTTTTCCCAAAACACTGAGACAGATTAAGGATCTAATTTTCAGAACATTTCTGGCTTTTCACTCAGTTTCACAGCTGAGCTGATTGAGGCTGAAATAAACATAGTATTTAGCTCAAGACATTACAAAAAATGCATGTGGCAGGGAGTTTAGTCTAGGATGCCAGAAAAGCCCGTTTTGGGACACAGTCATACCACTGCTGTCCCATTGCAGATATGGGTTTGGGAATCTGAAATATCTAGAGATGTGGAGCTGCAATGTTCTTACCTATCTGGAGAGGGTCTTTGACAGCCCTCACCCGGAACAGCTGCTCCCCTCGCTGGAACTCATCTGCACTGCCATTCGCCAAACACGAGTACAATCTGCAAGAGATACAACATAACATGTCAAGATCAGTCCATTTTTGAGAAACTTCATATTATCCTCTTGCATCTTTTGTTGACGTAGCTTTTGAAAAATCCTTACTGTCTTCATCTTTAAGATGAAGTCCAGTTCTTTTCTGCCATTTCTCCATTACAATTCAACCATAAAAATCGTTAGCCTCTTCCTAACTGGGTTTGTGTATAGCCACTGGCATTTCTAGGAATTTCAACCTAAAGCTCTGAAATACAAATTCATTCATAGCCTAAAATTAAGCTTTTACGTACAGTATAATATCAATTCAAAGTCCAATGTCAGCATGCCACAGTAAAAACTCCTTGTACTTCTAGATGAGTTACCTCCATGCTCAGGTGAGGTTTTTTTACATCTGTGCTCATCAGAATAATGAACACATATAACCAGCTGGCCTGCTCTATTCCCCCACAGGTGATCTTACTAATTACATCAGCACTTCTGACATTACGTCCCCCATCTGATACCAGAATGTTAGATGAATGCATCTAAGAACTTTCAGGATGATCCTTTCTAAAAGAGCGTAATATCACTACTTTGCAACAAAATTCTGAACGCACAGTTACATGGGTAGGCCTCCTAAAGTATAAAAGCTTCAGCAAAAATACTTTGGTAAAAGATCTAAAAGCACAGAGTTTTTGACCATGTATTCACACAATTTATGTAGAAACATAAGAAATATAGTCATCTCTCTGTATCCACTCTGACCACTGATGTACTCAGCAAATTCTGATTCTCCTACTTACACCAACAAAAGCCTTTCACAGCATGCTGAGCTAGCTCTCCCCGGCAATTTCTTAGCCCAGTTAAAGCTCTCACTCAAACAACAGATTCAAACTGGAAAGAATACTGCATAGGACTAACAGAAGAAAGACACTGAGGTACTGGAGCGTGTCCAGAGAAGGGCAGCGAAGCTGGTGAAGGGTCTAGAGCATAAGTCTGATGAGGAGCGGCTGAGGGAACTGGGGTTGTTTAGCCTGGAGAAAACGAGGCTCAGGGGAGACCTTATCGTGCTCTACAACTACCTGAAAGGAAGTTGTAGCAAGGTGGGTGTTGGTCTCTTTTCCCAGGTGACAAGCGATGGGACGAGAGGATACGGCCTCAAATTGCACCGGGGAGGTTTAGATTGGGTATTAGGAAAAATTTCTTCACCAAAAGGGTTGTCAAGCATTGGAACTGGCTGCCCAGGGAAGTGGTTGAGTCGCCATCCCTGGAGGTATTTAAAAGGTGTAGATGTGGCACTTAGAGACATGGTTTAGTGGTAGACTTGGCAGTGTTGGGTTTACGGTTGACTTGATGATCTTAGGGGTCTTTTCCAACCTAAATGATTCTATGATTCTATAAGGACAAAACTCTACAAACAAGTTACTGTCAGGCAAATTAAAGGGTGCATTTATTCTGCAATCATTTACACACAGAACCTGCACGTGCACATGCTTTTCCTGGGACATATGCAGGGCAGCTCACTCTGAAATATAACCCTGTATCATAGTATATCCCACAGTAACCCATCCACGTATTACAAAATGCACATGAGAACAGCAGAAGCAGCAAATATATGGGACATCAAACAGACAATGATTCTCCTCTAGTGAACAGAACTTTTCCTTAAGCGTCAATGAAACAGAAATAGTATTCATTACCTGATATCTTCCTCATTTTCTGGGAAACTCCAGAAGGCGATCCGAAGCTGCAGTTGCTCAGGCACTGGAGGATAAACTTTCTCCACCACCTCGAATGGAATGTGAAATGCAACCTGTTTTGCAGACAGTTCCACCAATGGGATCACCAGCCCATCTAGCAAGACAAGAAACAAAATGCAATTAGCCATTCAGAGAACAAAACTCATGAGAGGCTAAAGAGATCGGAGCAGGGAGCTCTTCCACTTCCTCTCTTATCTCACTAAGTTCAAGGACCAATTTTGATAGACAGTAAAAGGCAGCACAGAATTGCCTGCCAACTTTATGTTTCTTTTCAGCCCCCTAGGGCATGGGTACACATTCCTAAAAAAACAGTCCTTTGGCAGGAGAGCTACATTAGCTTAGCAGACACCAGTGACTCCTGATCAGCGTCTCCTGACAAAACTGAAACCATTTAGCAAGGCATAAGGTAACCAAATATTTTTCACACATTTCTGTTAGAATATGGCAGCAACATCTTGTGAATGCCAGATGATTACACAGAGGAGAACTGTTACAGTGTATATGCACAAGACAGCAATGGAAAGGTTATCCAGGAACCTTAGTATTGACTTTTTTGGTAACATTCAGTATTCGGCAATTTATAAGATTTTAATTTCAGTTAGTATTTGTTGTTTTATTCCCCTCACCACCACCTTTTGTATGATATCTGTCTTTATATTTCAAGTTCTTTACAGAAGCAACTGGGAATTCACATGTTTGTACAGTGCTGACTATACTTGAACCCATGAGGATCTTAACTGAAGGCACCCGAGAGCTTTATACAAATACATTTAACCACCACCTTTCTACGAAACTAACTCCACTTGTTATGTTTTTAAGTGCAGATGAAGATTTCTTATCATCAGGCTATGGGAGCCTTACGTTTCTGCTTTGCTCTGAGCTAGATTACACTCTATACAAAATGCCAGACTTGCCTTATCTGCAAGCACCTCACTGCTTTACTGAGATCACTTCCTGATCCATTACTAAAGCAGCCTTGGTTCCCCCGTCTTCCAAACCCTGTTGTCAAGAGCCTAATTAATTCCGTTTCAGATATTCAACGTTATGACTCTTCACCTCCCTAACCAGCTTCTAAAACACCACTAGAAGCCAGAACGTAAACCAATCTGGCCCTCAGCTTTCCCTCCCCACTGGCCTCCAGGCAACATATCAAAGGAAAACTTAAGCCCTGATGGCAGCAAGGGCTTTCTCACCCTCTGCCTAGAGACGCCCTCCAGTCGGAACAGCTGGGAACCAGACAGAAGGGAGAGGGCTTTGAAAGTGCATGCACACAGCAAAGCAGCCAACATCTCCCCCAGTACTGAGCAGACCTGTCAAATGGAAGGACTGCATAAATATGGAAAGAAAATACATTTTCAAACATCCACATTTATGATTTTTTTTTGATTGCAGTGAAATTAGATTCATTAGGCAGCATTCACTTCTCCCAGACAGAGGCAGTCTTTTGCTGTCAGGATTATTTCTCCATCACTAGTGACTTTTACCCTATGTTATAGACGGAGCCTCTGTTTTAGTGTGTTATAATCCCATCCACAAATGTGAGAGCAGCAGATTGTAAAACGAACAGTGATGGAAAAGTGGATTGTCCCTTTCTCTACAGCTAGCAGATAAACAAGATTTTGGCAGAAAAGTCATCTCATTTCCACTTTTGACAACCAGAACAGGTGTAAAGCTTTCATCAAGTCACTAAAAAAAAAATCACTATTTTTAATTAGTCACTAAAAAAAAATTACTATTCTTAATTAGTACAACATAGTCAACTTAAATATTACTGCTACTACAGTGGTAGTAGATACCACACAAGGTCCAAATTGAGGCACTTAAATACTTGCAATTACTCCGAGCAATGAAAGGAGAAATATTTCTTGTGGTTTTAGCTGCACTTTTTGTATAGAGGCACTTTATCCGAGTCTTTCATTACACAACACTAGAAAAGAGATAACACCTAAACAACCTCTACAAGGTACAAGACTCAAAAAAGTCTTCAGTAGCAGGGTGAAACACCTGCACATTCTTCAAAGAGCTGCAAGCCTGCAGCCTGGATGGTGTTCCTTTTTACAAGGATTTGGTGCTGGGTATGAAGGTTAGATTAGAAATGCTAAAGACAGACTGAGTTGACAAAAAAGCAGCAAAGACAAATGCATTCTGCTTATTATTGTATCAGTACACCTTACTCTCAAAAATACTGTTGCAATGGACTAGGACACACATACAAACGGTTACTAGGTCTCAATGGTACTAGTAGAGTACTACTGGTACTAGGAGCAGTAGTACAATCATTGCAATTACCCTCCAATCTCTCCGTTACATAGTATGGCTTTTCTCTTTCAAGCTAAACTAAACTAGCTCAAGAAAAATACTTTGACAAGTGTTACTGAAATTACCTCTCCTGAGAAAACATTTCTTCCAGGTGGGAAGACACCATAAGCCCTCCTCATCCGCTCCAGTGCAAGTCCAGTGCAAGTCAGCCAGCTTGGTTTTAACAGTTTTACACAGTGAACTAAGGTAACAGACTGACTTTGCATTAAACTCATTAACTGATTCATCAGCTGTACTGTGTTGGTAGTAATCACCAGAAGACAGGTGGCCAATTATCTGGCATATCTATCATAACCCACAGTCCGACATTCATAGCACATAGCTTAGACATTCCCAGAATAAGGTGAAAGCAGTAAAACCTGGTGGGGAAAAAATAATCTAAAAAGCAATCTCATCTGTACGACCATGCATCTTTCTAAAACGCTGAATTTTTTCTACAAGTAAAAAGAGACGTGGAAAAGAAATAGTAGAAAATAACTGAAAAGTAGAAAATAATTTTTCAATGATCCTTTAAGGGCAGGTGAATTCACAGTAGCTAACTTAGCACACAATGTAAATACTAAAATTAAGAAGTTAAACTGCCCTAAGTTTCAAGGGGGTAGTCCCCTATGTAGCCAAGGTGAGACACTTATCTAGAATGTGACTCAGAGCATCAGAGGGTCTTTTCCCGTTAGGCCTCCTGTAGAGTCAGCTGGACAATGAGTTAGGTGCTTAAATTAGACTCTGAATGCTCTCCTTTGAGTCCTAAACAGAGATCCGTTCAAAAAAGTTTCTCTCTCTCTGGACACAAATCCAGGGTTGGTGGATTCATACCTAATTGTATCAAAAGGTATTATCGATAAAACAGACAAAAGGTGCTCTCAGGTACTATAATAAATATCTTTTGAGCAAGAAAAAAAAGGAAAAGTCTGCTAACAAAGAAAAGAATAAAGCATCACAGCTTCTGCTCAGAAAGCAAAGATAAGGACAGCAAGGAAGATTGCAAATTTAATATAAAAAAATGAATCAGTAGTGAAATCAAAGATGTAATACAAAATTGACAAATCTGTAAGACAAATCTATCCAAGGAAGAAGTTCATTTTAAATTGTGGAGCAAAACTAGCAAGAATCACTGCTTCCTCTTGGGAAGCAGACATGATGACCCAAGCAGAACAAAGGAAGCGTTTCAAGTCTTGGAAGAATAAAGTCACAGGCAAAGCATAAGCAGCCTCAAACAATTCTCACTTACAGGTTAAATGACTAGCGAAACCCAGGTCAGGAAGGGATTTTGAGAGGTCATCTAATCTATACCTCCTACCTAAGAGGCAGGATCAAGCATATCTAAACCATTCTGAATAAAACACGTCTCATCTATTTACTGCCACATGGAACACGCAGCTTTGATGAGGACTATCCTACCCTTTTTGCTAGTGTTTTATGTGAATTACAGGTTTGATTTTTATAGCCATTTTATAACAGCTACAACTTTAGCATGCTGGAACAACAACAACAAAAAAATCCTCAACCCCAAACCAGCCAACACAAGCTATGCACACAAACACGCATTTTCACCAGTGGAAACAACTTCTGTGCCAGTAGGGCTTACTGACATAGGAATGCATGTGTAGCTACATTGCTTAACCTTTCCTAATATAGGGTAGGCTGTAAGAAGTTGCAGCCAACAATTATTCATAAAAACAGATCATGTTCAAACTGAGCTGTTATTCCTTCAGTACAATAATTGAGTTTCCATGATAGACAAATAGAGAAGAAACTGCTTGAATAATCAACAAAATAGGGGCCATGAGAACACCAAAGAGTTATTAAATGGAACGGAAAGAGAAACCAACTGGGCCAAGCACTGAATGTATTTGTTATCTGATTACATCATTTCCATTGGGTTACTTTCATTTGACACACGTCTCTAAAATTAAACTATAGATACAAGTGAATAAATACAAATGCAGGTGAACAAATTTCACAGCAAGGCAGTGCAAAGACAGGACGCATTGCTTTTGCTATATATACCCTAAGAAAAATGGCATGTTAGGCTGCATTATCTTTTTAGAGATGAGTCTAGAGCTTTGATTTTATAGCTATCCCTGGTCCCCACCTCACATTTCCCCTCACCTTTCCCGCTGGCTTCAGTCCAAAATGTAACAGCATGGAACAAAGTAATACAACTATACACCGAACAAGGAGATAAAGAAAATTAAGTGAAGCACTTCTGATATCAAAAGCTAAAGTGCAAAGAGCAGTAAAACTAACAGGAAATAAGCAGAGTGCAATCTTGACCAGTGAAGGAGGTATGGGGGGGGTGTTATAAAACCTGTTTTACAAACCTCATTTAATGGTAAATATTACATTGCTTTTTACAGGATTTGCCATGTAGAAAGATAAATCTGTTACTGTAGAATGCACTTTAAGCATTTCTGCTTGTTTTATTTTAGTTAAGGGCCTATCAGTAAAATGCTCCTTGACTTAAGTCAGTGATATATTCTCTCTCTGATACCCCTTAAAACCAAAAAGTGCTGAGAACTCTCAAATATGGGCAAGCAGAGCAAGCATTACATTTAACCGTAACATACCTAAATCAAAACTCTTCAAAAATATTTGGTTTCTTACTGTTTTCTATTTTTTTCCTTCTAAAATTCTGCTGTTGGTTTTACTTTATTCTCTTCTTCTTTCTTCCTTTCTAGGAATTTATTCTCAGAGTTGATGTCTTTAAGAAGTACATGCCAGAGGCAATATACTCCTTCAGGTCTCAAACTCTGCAACAAACACCAGAAAACTTCA